CTTCTTAGTGCGAAGTCTACTAAACCTTTTACTAGCTATAGTTTATTAGATACTACAGCTTGATATTGAAAACCTGCATTTATACCTCGACTTTTCCCTTCTGGATCTCTAAGAACAGTGCAGTCTTCTATATGTCCAAAATGCTCAAACATTTCCCGTACATCAACTTCGGTAAGCTTCTTATTTAACATCCCAATGAATAATTTTCTTTCTGCAATACAACGACTTGAAGAACACCAAACTAAATATAAATGTTACTGCAAAAGGATAACAACAGTTTCGTAACATGTCTTAAGAGTACTTATGATTCTGCAAAAGAAAAACAGTCTCACAATGAAGTATAGAGTGTAGTTAAATGAAAGTAATGACTGCTTCATTACAATGAGCTCAAAAAAATACCATTCCTGTTTTCAATATCTGCCGGTTTCATCTGCACAGGATGACACATCTGGGGTAAAATACGAATATTGTGAAGTGCTGCTTGTGCTGCTATTGCATCTGCACGTTTATAAAAAGTTACAAAACAACAACCTAAAACAGAAATGGTTCCTGGGATTCAACACTGATTTCCAAAAGCTAAATAAGAACAAAAACATTTCTCTACCTCGACTTATATGCGTTAATTTGTCACGTAACACATTTAGATGGCAAACAGAGCCATACTGCTCAAACAAATTTCTACATTCTGCTTCCCCCCACGTCCGTGGAATCTAAAACAAACGAAATTACTCAACACAAAGATAGTTTTTTCTCTTAATATGGCAATCTATGGAACCAACTAATGATACATCACATGAAAATCACATTTTAATGACATAAGTTGCATACCTGACCGACAAACATTTTGATGGCATCTGGATCAGGCTCTTTAGCGGAAGAAGCTTGCGACTGCTGCGTAGACTGGCTGTTACTCATTACATTTGTTCTGAGAAAAAGAAAATGCTAACAAAATTAAATAAAGTACCTATGAACACCAAAAACGCAGCGAAAGTAGCTTGGTTTTTTAGAAAAAACCTATAACGCCGTTTTCTCACTCAAATATTTCAAAGTAGGCCACCATTATATAGTACTCATCGATAATTATAAGTAAAAAAATATAAAAGTATTTAGTTAAATCTGAATATGGATATCATCCTTTTTTTGAGTTCAATCATTGGAAAAACTGAAAATGTTGATTGACACGAAGCGGCTAATAAAGTTTCAATCTGCAAGCAGAGAAAATTACATTTTTCTTACTTAACAAGTTCGACATATATCAAGAATACATCCCATTGTGACCACCCGTCAATATTTTGCGAGCTATACATCGGAATGTATTCTATCATGTATGTACTCTTCTGATACAGAATATAGATAAAAATAAGGTAATGATTCTGAAAACTGATAATTCTGATTTATGTTATTTATAGCAACTGTGAATGAAAACAATAAAGCACAATAGAAAATAGAGCAACTCTAAAATAAATGCACCAACCAAAAACCAAAAACTAACCAAATAACTGGAATATCACATTACTTAAATTCTAACAAAAATATTTCAGAAAAGAAAAAAATCCACGGAAGATATCTTTCTTATCATTACACATTTAAGAAAGCATATATGATCATGCATAAAGCAACTAATACGTAAATAATGATGGAAAAGGGAAAGTGACGGCCATACCAAATCTGTCTTCTCACTATTATGCTCAATACATAAAATGAAACAAACAGAACACAAAATGTTCACTCCTGTTGTTTACTTGTACAAGTAAACCTAAAATCAAGTGTAAATTACAAAATTAAAAAGTGCTAAATGTCATCACTACTTTTAAGAAAAATTAGGATCACTAAATAAAATAAGAATATCTGGAAGTACCTAGCTGCAATGCTATGACCTTATTTGTTTACACTACTCATTCTGATAATTACACATGGAAGTTGGACACTCATAACACATGATTTCAAATCAAAACCAAGCATGCAATGCAAAATAACAATAACGATAACTAAGTAAATAAAAAACGTTAAGAATAAAAACATACAAGCTAGACAAATAAAAACCACAACAAAGAGTTGTTGGACAAGCACTTTTTCATTATTCGTATGTAAAATTTTTTGACAAGCACTAACGCTCAAAAACTTCTCAGCTTAACGCGAAAATCTATAACTACAATAACAAACTTAGCGTAGTTAGTGCAATACACAATTTGTACACAACCTAAATACCGTCCATTTTGATCTTTATGAAGAGATTACTTTAAGTTTGAATTGAACCCATACCAACGTATCAAAGTACAATTTTGAATGCGTCTAAAATGCTTAAATTTGGTTTTTCTGGATGCCCAATGCTCATAACAATGAATTTGCAATAGTTTCACAAAATACTTTTTATCTCTTGGCTATCAGCCTTAACAACAAAATTATCGTCTTTATTGTCATAATGTCTTAAATTGCATTTGTACTCGTACTTATGTACCTGACCCATGACTGATCCTCACATCTACAAAAAGTACTGCAAACGAAAATAGAAAATGAAGATTAAAAAAAACATCACTAGATAGAAATAAACAGTAACAACTACTCCCTTTACGTACGCCATCGATAAGCGATCGCACACATAAACGCAGCAGAATTCGACTGCCATACACATTGCCAGTGAAATGCAGAAGTGTCAGAAGAGAGAACAAAATATTTGGGCCGCATAGCATAACATCAACTCCCTATGCAAATGATTATCCCAAATAAATATATTCACAATCTGAAGTGTTAATTGTTTACATTGGAACATTTCAGTTTTCTTCCGGATTATTTTAGCTGGGAAATAGTTTTAAGATATTTCCTGTTTTTGCCATAGTATCTTGCGTAGAGTGGTGCAGTCTAAAAATTGGTATTTATTTAAAAGAAATAAGTAAATTATAATGAAAAAAATATGGAGGGCAAAGTTCGGTTAAAAATAAAAAATACGTTGAAACAAGTATTTGCAAAGTTATTGCGTAAACATGACCTTATTTAATTAGCCACAAAACTAGTGTTGGAGAAATCATAACGCGTGTTGAAGAAAAATATCCAACACTTTTATTAGACAATATGCGTGCAAAATTTTTCTCTCTAACAAAAACGAAATTATGTAGTGAAAAAAATTAAACAAGTTTTGATGAAAATTCAAAACACCTTACAATTTTTTATTTATAAATTTTTATGAAATAAAAGTAAACTCATAGATTTATTAAATTCCTAACAATAAAATGTCTTAGTTGTCTAATGAGTTTATAATTTTGTAAAAGAAATAATGATTTTTTACAACCAATTGTCAGCAATTTCATTGAAATGCAAAACTATTATATAAAAAAGTGTATATATGAAGTTGCATAAGTTTTGTTCATTTTTTAAACTAATAAACAAACTTGAAACAGCATAAAATAATCATGTTTTTCATTTTTTTCTTGTATTCAGTAAAATGAAAAAAAGCTACAGACATTTTTTTATAATGCAAACAAAAGTAAACAGAAAAAAGAAAAAAACGAAAAAGGAATGAAGTACAATAAAAACATCTATCTCCTCATTCGTTATTTATAAACTTTCATAGTTAATTAATTAACTAATTAATTAATTAGCTGTCAATTTGTCTTCCAATTCAATCGTACGTTTAAACGTTTAATTTCACAGCGTTACAATATTACATGCATAGTCAATGCATTAGGAAACAGTTGTTAAAGGATTAGTAGACGAATAAGTGGATGGAAAGATTAGTGACGTTATAATGCGAACACAACTAATATTTCATCAATATATTTTGCGAGATTTTCTTAAATATAACAAAAAAAATATTGTATTTCACAGGAAATAAATTAGTAAATAAGTGATGGTAAAATATAAGCAGCGAATGAATGATGTTAGCAATGCGCCTACATAAATAATCACAATAATGCAATACTTTCCACCAATGAACAATTTTTGTACAGTAAAAGTTACTCGTCTGTATGTATGCATACAAATAATATATAAAAAGTATAAAATAATAAAGAAATAAAATAGCGGAATTAGTTACAAGTATAGTGATTTAAATGGTGAAAAATGATACGCTTGAAGTAATTGTTGTCAAGTAATGCATATCGAAGGCAGGAGAGGATGGTTAAGATGATGAATGGATGAAGAATGATGGCAGGATTCATTACTCGCTCATTGAGTATTGGTTAGACCAGTGTAGTCTAACTTCTATTTTCATACTCATTGCCATTTTCGAACAGTATATTTTCAATTACGCTATATCTTTTCTATATTGCTAATTATCACTTACATCTGAATCTTATAGTTTCCACAAAACCTTTTGCTTACTTTCCTTACCATACTTTAATGTACTCATTTAATATTCCTGTAAATGCATAACAAGTTTTTATTTCTTTATACCACATGCTTCTTCCTTACAAATCTTGCTAAATTTTTGTCTTTGAATACACAGGTACATGTAAATAACTGTTTGCAAATTGTACAAATAAACAAATAAATTTTATTCTACCAAATATAAAGTAGTTACTTAGTATTACTATATCCATTATTACTGCAGCGTTATTTATCAAATTTTTCGTACGATACTGCTGTCTACTTTTAAGAAAAATTCAAATGCAATTTATTGTTGTATTTACGTTTCTACTGAATGTTTGATACATAAAGACTGAGCATAACTTACAAGTAGCAAAAGAGGAAATAAGCGAATCAAACTTTAAGTGAACCCAGTTAAATCAAGTAACTTTCCAATAACTGCATCGAATCTTACAACACTTAAGCAAAAGAAATTAAAAGTTGCACATATATCACTTTTTCTCTTTTCTAGGACCAAAAGTTCACCAACACCATATGTTCACAAAAACACAACAGCAGTTTTAGTTAAATGTATGTATGTATACATGTTAAATAATTTTTAAAATTAAAACAACCACAACGTCTATATTGAAGTTTACTTTCATTATTCCTATTGTAATTAGTAACATTCTATTTTGAGAAAAACGTTATGAAATGAATGTTATGAAATGAATGTTATGAAATTAAATGTCATGAAATTGAATGTTGCGTCATGAGTGTTATGAAATTTTTCTTTTTGTGACTACAATCTTCTAGAACTAAATACTAAAACTACTGGATAAAAATGAATATATATCGCGGTATATTTGCAATACGTAGATCGATCAACCTCAAATACTATGCACGAGCTAACAAAACGATATATTTAATCAATAAAATAAATGGATAAATAAATGTTAATATATATATATATATATTTAATAAATCAAGAACAAAATAAGTTTTGCATGAAAAAACGTCTAAAATAATGAGAGATAATGATAATTTCTGTCTCAAACCCGATTAATTACAAGAAAATTTCAACATTTTCTGCTCATGACGCAGTTCACTAACCACGCCAGTATGATGATGAGAAGTATTATACGTTTTTCTCAAAAAATCTAACTGCATTGTACGTACTTGATACATGTTACGACCTCAAAATTATGGCATTTATTATAGTGCCGGACATTAACCAAATGACCTTCATTACCCATATAATATTTGCCTGCTAAATATATATAGGCATAGATCTATACATGATTCAGGGTTATACACGTCATTATGAAAAATCGATTGCACTAAAAAGACTGCAATTTCATGTCGAATGACAATGGAAGTGTTTTCCAAAGTACTAAAAGATAGAGAGAGAGACAAAATTGTCAAAAGACACAGAGGGAATGAACTCATTGAACATATGATATGAGTGAGTTCATTCCCTCTTTGTCAAAGAGATACGCTTTTCCAAACACACAAAGATTTATTCAAAAATGAGTTAGACACGCACTAATAATCCTTCCATGGTACAGTAGTAAGTACTAATTAAGAAGATATTTACGCTAAATGAAATTACTGATGATTTTTACGTTATTATAAAATAATGGAGAGCAAATTTAGTGAAATTTTGATACGTAAGATTAATAATGATAAACACGTAAGATTTTTGTAGAAAAAAAAAATCACACAGCAAATGGGATATAAATTTTAGGCTCAAAAAAATGTAATAGAAATTATATACCAAGAAAACAAACTCATCGTAATATTTCATTATATGGATTTTTGAATAAAAGAAGATAAAAGTAAAGTAGAGAAAAGAAATATAAAACTTGCCATTACAAATTAAATATCTGCTTGCAAATAAAATGATGATTATGAGAAATGTGACTGAATTTTGCTTGCCAGTTGTGTAAACCACAATGATTCACGAGTATTTAAGATTGTAAGTGAGAACGTCTACCATAGCCATGTTTTCTAGCACGACTGATCGATGGTTCGATCAAATACTTGCGAATGTTTTCCGTAGGTCTTAGCGCATCTCGACAATCCCTTTGAGAGCATTTAAGACCCGCAATAAGTTTTTCCCACAGAGTCCTCTCAAAATGCATTACTGGCTGAGATGTTCTTCTTATATTATGCTGCTCATCATCGTCATCTGTTGTATGCATTTCAGGACTTGGTAACTTGAGACTCTTTGTTTGATTATTTAATCCACAAGATAATTTTTTCTTTTCAAAATCCCCTTTTAAAGTACGCAAATGATTAACGTCACAATCATAATGATTGTCCATTTGCTGCTCTTTCAAATCATTTTTAGCAAGTTTTGAGCTAGAAATTACTTGAGGACTGAATTTTGAATTAATCTTAAATCTTTCAATATTTTGTTCACCTTTTATAAATATGTAGTCTTGAGTAACTTCAGTACTTCCAGCATTATGCTTCCTCTTATTACCACTTTTTTCTTCCACACTACTTATTTCTATTCGTTCACTATTACTTCGAAACATCTTTGAGTTCCAATTCTTTTCCTTATGCTTACTCTCTTCATAAGGTGATTGTTTGTTACTTCTTTCAATAATCGAAGAATTACTTGATGGCGTTTTATAATCTGTTATATTTGCTTCAATCGATAGTAGTGATAAAAACGGCGCTACAGCATTGAAAATTTCCAATACAAGAACCGTAACTTCTAAATCCAAGTCAACTTCTTTTCCATGTAAATTATTAATACTTTTGAAAATTACATTAGCATCAGTATACCTCTGTGTAGCACTCGAATTTATAGGAGTTGAAATGCTATTATTTGTTTGATTGTTATTTGTAGATATCTTAAAATTTATATCACTTGCTTTGATAGTAATTTGACCATTTCGAATACTTCTATCATGGTTAAAAGATGCTCGTTCTTTCGTCTCTTCATGCACATAATGCGTGTCCATTTCATGCTTATTGTCACTACTGTATTTTATTATATCCTTATCCAATGTAGAAATAACTTCCTTTTCAATTTCACGAACAGCATTCGGAGCGCTAACAGCACTGCCGAGAATTCTGTATGGTGGTGGTGTAACAGTAACATTAGCAGTTTTATAATGAAAAGACGTGAAGGTAGAAAAAACCGCTTTATTCACAGAACTATTGAAAACTGAAATCGCTGGCTTATCAGGCAACAGTGGATTACATAGAATAACGGTATAAGATAAAAATAAACAAAAATCTGGTCTCATAACTTTGTTTTTAGAATGAATATATGTTGACCAAGAATGGAAATTTTAGTTAAAATATCCAGAACTCAAATAATAGATAGTTCAGGATTCGAAAATAACAGATCTTGAAGTTATTCCACTTTAGAGAACTCCATTCATTAATTTAATACAAGTCTTCAAATCTCGCTTATTGACAGCTGTCAGTAAATTCTGTGCATACGGATGATAACTTCGCATGATAGCGGCACGCAAGAGCGTCCAAACTGAAGTTGCAACAGGACCACAAGAGTATTGTAGCTGAGCTGCCAGAATGAAATCTCTTATTGCTTGACTGCAATTAGAATTAAATATCTGTTTTATATGAAGTAATTTCGAGTGATAAATCTAATAATAAATGTAAATTCATATTTTTACATATTTCAATCAAAAAAAAAGGAAGTAAATGTCCCTATCTACAACTAACACATAAAACCTGAAACGTTTTAGACCTAATTTATTGGTGACTTAGTACTTTGTTTTAAATTTGCTAACTGGAAACGGAGAAAAAGCTTAAATCCTCACTAGAACAACTAGAAAACTCAGTATGTCCCTAATTAATTTAGAAAGACTGTGTTCAAATGCAAGTTTTTGAACCAATTATTATATCCATTTTTAAAGTAAAGAACTATACTTGTAATCATGAAGTTTCATTTGAGAAATGCCCATATTACAGCGAGCACGCACATAGCTTGGACGAACTTCCAGTGCTTCGAAATAAGCAGCAACTGCTTCTTCAAAATGTTCTCCATTAGCTAATAAAGCCCCCAAACGATTCCAACGAACGTAATCCTGGGGCACAGCTAATAGATTAATCATTTCCCAACAATCGTTCAGCAATTAATCAAAAACAGAAAACTCAAGTTCTGACTAACCACTATTTAAATGTGAATAAATATTCTGTTAGAGGAAAATTCATTTTATTTTGATGCGGGAAAAAGAATTCCAATTATTTCCGGATTAACCCATTCTTTTCAAACTGGGCATTGAACAAGAAAAACATAGACAAGAAATATGATTTATAATTTAGATGATTAAAATCCAAACTCTCGAAGACCTATTTGAGATATATTAGCGATATTATAAACTTTTTTCAAACGATTCTTTTTTGACCGTTTTAAACTAAGTCCATTATCATCGTCACAACCTTTGGATATTTACGAAGCACCAATTGCACTTCAATAGCAGCTTTATCATATTCATGTTTGATATTATAAACTAAGCTCAATGCATCATGAAATAATGCTTCATCTTCCATTGCTCCTTTCGCCAACATAAATTTAATCTTGTCTTCTACCTAAAAATTAATTAAAAATTAGAATCGCATCATACAAGTACAAAAATAATGATTTTAAAAAGTTTCAGTGTTGCGACACCAGTAACTGAAATCAATTAATACAAAAAATCAAGATAAAAAGACATAAAAATTTAATCACTTGCAATTGAAGGAGTAGTCAACTTTTTCAATTTTTAATATATCCTGCTAAACATCAATATTTAATTATATAAGCACCCTATGATAGCAAATTGACGATGTTGTATAAACATACATATTCACTAAAGTGTAGTATAGTGGGAAAATTTAAAATGCCTGTACATCACGAAACATTTCAAATTATCAGTCATACAAAAAATGAATAATACTTAAAAATCCGCATCACCTTTTGTGCTCGAATACGCAGTTCTTCAAGTGGATTAACAGAAGTAGAAGATTGAAATAAAAAGCAGGAACCAATCAAATATTTTGAAATCCATTCATCCAAAACTTCTGTAGCTTCTAATTGCATACCTTCGTTAATATAAGATCCAGCTAACCAGAGGTGCACCTAAAAAAAAGGCCAGGCTACGTGTAGACCTGCGGTGCCTCGAGATTTAAATACAAGAGTCACGCTGTTGAATGTTCAGTATATGAAAAACTTCTAAAAGTTATCCCACCATGAAACGCCAATAAAAATAGAAACGTGATTTGACTAAGTCATGCCATGAACACGTTCACACAATGCTATGAAATTTCCTTATGTCGCCAAAAAAATAATGCATTAAGATCAGTGAATATTACATGTGAAGATAAACTCACACTAAAAAAAAAACTCACACTACAGTTGTTTTCGATATGAAATCTAAACTCGATATCTAAAATATGATGAAGTTTTTTGAATGCTCAAGAATACGAAATCATACAACTATAATTTTTATAAATATTAAGCTTGGATTTTAAAGTCAAAAATTACTTCTTTTAAATGCGGATTTAACTTCAATGCTGCTTTAAATGCAGCAATAGCCTGTATATCATTACCATTTTCTGCTTGACACTGCCCAAGCAACAACCAGCTCTGCAGATAAATAAATCGTCGATGTATTGAATACAAAGCAATTTAAAGAACCAAAAAAAAAAAAAATGACAGACACTGTAAAATGGACTTGTGGATTTAAAATTACTAAGTGAAATATCAAAAAATACTTCCAAAATCAACCAACGCATTTTTCTTCACTTATATGCTATTTTCAATGAAAAACAAAAAAATCCACTTCATAATCGTTCTGATTTTCTTGTAGAGCAGCTTCAAGATATAAAATAGCCGTCAAAATGAGACCAGCATCAAATGATTGCTTTGCTTCCTTGATCGCATCCATTTTTTTAAGGTGAGGGTTATTTTTTTGGAAACGATATGTTTCGAAAAACTCACGCAATGTCCTACGATAAAGTTTTAATCATAAAATAAAAATTCGTGATTACGTAGTTCTTTGGATAATTTATCACTTCAATAACCAATCAGTATCAGCGTTGTTAATCATAATATAGAACAAATCAAATTTAAGATATCAAGCTGGTTCTGTGGTTCAATTCGCATAAATTTGGCAGCACCAACATTTTATGACCTATTTTCTACAAACTTATTCTCGAAAGAAGAGTTAACTTTCCTAAATTTAAAAAGCAGCAATTAAGGAAAATAACAATGAACATCACTTTGTGGGAAAAGCTGTTGCAGTTTCATCAACTTTGATCGGAGAAACAGATGTATTTTCTTGAAGAAAACCAGGTTTCTGCAATAACTGACGTAAGATTTTAACTCTATATTTATGAAATATTTCCTCCGCAGATATCATTTATGCAGAAAACAACCTCTGGTGCTGGCGTTTCATCAATTTGCAATTTTTGATCGAATTCCTCCAAAAACTCATGAGCACAGATTGTATCACTAAAAATTACTTACAAAGTTGCAGATGACTTCAAAAGTTTTAGGTTTAACCTTCAATGTAAACACATGTTCGTAAAATGCATATTCAGAAACTTATATTCATGATACTCCAATATATCCTTTTTATGTCATCAAAGACGTTTTACGAGCCTCATCTCATTTGTACTGTTGACAGTTTCAGTTGCAATTTCGCTTTCACGATTTTGTTCATGCGTATCGGAATCACAGAATTCCTCAGTCCACTTCTTCGATAACCGCTCAGTTTGAAAATCTTCAAACCATGGACTAGTGAAATTACGAACAGCATCTAATTCATCCATCAATTCAGACATAATCGTTGTTTGCAAAGAATCATCATACAATACCTGAAATTCATCCTTAAGCTTAAAAATACAAACATGAAATAGCATTTAAAAAATTGATTAACGAGAAGCATTTTTAAGTTAAATAGAAATTGATAAGCAAATATAAGCTCAACAGCACAAAAAATAATTATGTGCTGATTCTTAAAAAAATAACGAGTGATACATCAACAGTGGAAATCTTTCTGAAAAATAAATATTTCTTAACAATACTAACGTCTTCAGACGCCGCATCAGTGGCTGAGAAATGATGCACTCCACTTTCAAAATCACCTTCATTACTTCCTTCAACAATATTTTTAGACAAGTCAACCAACGGGTTGTCCTGCGCACAATCATCTTCAAGCAGTGCCTCGAAGAAGGGTTTTTGATCCATTAAACACAGTGAATCTACAATATTAGAGAGAACATATAAATAATAAAATGTGAAGGCTATTTTTAATTTCCGCTTTACTGATTTTGGCGCTATATCGCATTACGGCAGTAAAAAAAAAATATATATATATATAGTCAAGGATATACATATATACATTTCTTTTCTCGGCCTTGCCGAGGTGCTGAGTGGTTGACTCTGAGCGACTGTGTTCAAGAAGCATAAAAAGAGTAGAAGGAAAAGTCCGCATCTGGAACCAAAAATGAAAACAATGCAAGAACAGATGCGGTTGAAAAAGCTATGTGAAGGATGTGAGAGAACATACTGCCAATGTACCGGAACGCGGTGCCAGCAGAATGATAATTAAGCAGTCATTCGTGGAATCGAAATCTCGCGAGGCACGTTTTTATTCGATATGGAGGAATGCCGAAGGGGGATGACCATTCTGCCGCTCCCTATTTAGCGAGAAATTTTTGCGTGCTATTATCCTCGAAGAACTGAAGAAGCAAGCGAATTCTGTGATCACCAGTAATGCAGGTCGTCTATGCTCACAGAATCGGTTCTTAGAGGAGTCCACGAAACGTATCAAAGCGCAAGATACGCACTTCGAGGAAAACACACTACACGAGTCTAGGGTTTATCTAGATGTAAAGAAGAAATACCTAATACTGATACAAGAAGCACAGGGATGTGAGATACACCAGACAAAGTGGACGCTGAAAATAACATCAGAGAGCGTCAACCCACTTATATTTGGAGCAGTGAACCAAGTAGCGGGAGAATATGTCACACAGAATCCCCCCAAGTCAATGACCGATATTGCAGCTCCAGGTATCATAACAGTGTTGAGAAAGCTACTTGAAAATAATCAATTAGGAACTGTTACTCAGATTCAAGGTGCAAAAGAATACCATGAAATCTATGGCAGAAGAAGTTGAAAAGTTTCTTGATGAGGTGTGACTAGAAGTAAATCCAGCACAATCAGCCACTAACACAGAGGTATGCGCAGATAAGGCGGCGCTATTGAGAGGAACTCAAGGATACAAATACCTTGAAATAGTGGATGACAGGACTAGTGCAGACTAGTGCACCTACCCTTGAAAGCTACGATCAAGTCCGAGCAGAGATTTTTGTGAGAATTGAGCGGTTAGCCAAAACTGTACTAAATGGTAAGAACTTTATCAAGGCTATGAATGAGCACGCCATAAGCCTAATAAATTATTTCGTCTGGGTTCTCAAGCTGGAGCCGAAAGACTCCAAGGCTATAAACCACGATATCAGACAGTTTCTACACAAACACGGAATTCACAAGCAACCTGCACGTTTGGAAGGACTGTACCTGCCAAGGGACGAGCTAGAACGTGAGTGAGCTAATGCTTCTCCAACTATATGATGGTCTTGTAGATACCGCACCCATTTGTACCAGAAGAGCAGCGATCCTGAAGCAGGATAAAGCTCATAACACGTGCTTGGCAATTATTGTGCCCAAGAATAAGTACAACCTTGCAGAAAATCCTACTGATGAAAACGTATTAGCAGTCCAGAAGGCGTTCTTTTGTAGCGAAATAGTAAAGAAAACCCATTCTGCAAAGCTATACAAGATGCGGAAGAATAAAATCTCGTCCACAGCTGATTCATCAATATGGATACGATACGGAAACATTACCCAGCAAGATGAAGCACGATACTGTAACCTCCAAAACAGAAATATGTTTGAAGCTGAAAAAGGTATGTGCCACCATTGTAGAGAACGTGTGAAGACGGTGGAGCATCTAGCAAGGTAGTGCAAAAAAATGTCACATCACGACTATACTAGAAGACACAATGAGGTCCTGCAATGCATCCATTTGAGACACTGCAAGAAGTATGGTCTGAAAGCATTCCCGCGCGTGGGGAGTCATTCTGTTCAGAAGGTCGTCGCAAATGAGGACGTTAAGATCAGAGTCGATACGCGAGTGAGAACAGCAATCAGAATAAAAGCAGATCGACATCATGATACACGATAAGCGACGTGAAGTAATCCTGATGGAGGTTGGCATCACTAGTTAAGACAGGTTAACAACAGTCGTGACCGAGAAAAAGTGAAAAGACCGAGAAAAAGCAAAAAGACAGAGAAAAAGAGAAAATATGACCTACTTACTAATAAGCTTGGGTAGTGATGAAATTAGGAGCAAAATAATTCAGTATTTGATGATTTGGAATGGGACTGTAACAAACTTCGATAAACGCTACGCGAAGGGAATCAGTATATCTGATCATGCAGGCACACAACCATTCAATAGTGCTTAAGAAGACGCTCGAGATCAACCCCTTCGATACTCGTTAAGGATTTCACGAGAACGAAGTGAAAACGATGAGCACAACAAATCTGAGCGCAGGACAAGTACAGCCCAGAGTGCCGCAATGCGATCCAGTGTCAGAATCAATGAAGCAGAAACGAAAACCGACCACCACATTTCTTTCTATATATATTTATATATGTATAGACTATACTAGAAGATACAACGTAGTCCTGCGATGTAATCATTTAGGACTTTGAAAAAAGTATGGTCTAAAAGCGTTTCTACGTATGCGGAGCCACTCCGTCCAGGAAACTGTCGCTAACGAGGACGTTTAAATCAGAGTCGCTATGCGAGTAAGAACTGCAATTAGAATAAAAGCGAAATGACCGAACATCCTGGTACACGACAAGAAACGATGTGAAGTAATCCTAATAGAAGTTGGCATCACTGGTTAGGACAGGGATGATAGCTCGAGACCGAGAAAAAGAGAAAATATGACCTACTTACTAATAAGCTTGGGTAGTGATGAAATTAGGAGCAAAATAATTCAGTATTTGATGATTTGGAATGGGACTGTAACAAACTTCGATAAACGCTACGCGAAGGGAATCAGTATATCTGATCATGCAGGCACACAACCATTCAATAGTGCTTAAGAAGACGCTCGAGATCAACCCCTTCGATACTCGTTAAGGATTTCACGAGAACGAAGTGAAAACGATGAGCACAACAAATCTGAGCGCAGGACAAGTACAGCCCAGAGTGCCGCAATGCGATCCAGTGTCAGAATCAATGAAGCAGAAACGAAAACCGACCACCACATTTCTTTCTATATATATTTATATAAGTTACTATCGATTGGAAATCAATTCCCTACACCCAAACAAGCATACAGTCAGACACAACTACAAAGAAATTTGCATATAATAATTTTCAGGATTTCCGATTACTGACTAATGCATGCAACATCTTTCAAGACTGCCTTAACTAATTTTGAACGGACGAACGAAGAAGCATTCTCCTTACATGCTACTTTCAAATTATTTCGTACAATTTATAACACACATTCCATTCGAGAGTACAAATAAGTCAATGCTGCTATTTTTTACAATAAAAATACATGATTCAGTAAACTTATCTCTACCAATATTTGTTCAAATATGCAATTATATTCTGTGATCTTAATCTATTCCTATTCTTTCCTCATTGCTACTAGATAAAGTATAACACACTATGCATGAATACTAATGTATGCGTGAATTCTTCTGATTTGTACAAAATATATAAGAAGAGATGATGTATGTCTATCTCAAGTTAGACCAAAATACATACATTTGAATTGAAAAACAATTGACTGCCAAGATAAATTGCTCGAATCATAACCTGCACATTTACAAAGACGTAAAATAAAGTATTCTAATTCTTGACTGCAAACTGATTCCCTACATCCAAGTAAACTTACAGCCACACTCAGACAACATTTATCTTAGATGCAGAAAGGCCTATCGTTAAAATGTTTCAAAAACCAAAAAGTGTAGCGATAAGTGTTTGCAAATTGACTATTGGCTACTCAACCCCAGTTGATCTTTAGTTCCATTTAAATGATTTTTAGTCATTTAGATAGAAGGTCCTTATTTGTTGTTTCTTGATGTGCATAGACTTAGTTCATCTTCATATTCTTAATTGTTTAGCAGTTTGTTTTGTATCCAATTTTTAAAAGCCACAACTCATTGCCATATTTTTTTATATATTTTTTTGAAGATTTTGTGCAAGACTTTTCTGTTCTTTAAAAGGCTATACAAAATAATTCAAATGTGATGGTTCTAGATGGCTCACTCAGCTCAGAAAGGCAAAATTCTCGCTGTAATAGGTGATGAAGATACTGTGGTTGGATTTCTACTTGGTGGTATAGGGGAACTAAATAAGGTACTTTTCGTATTAGTTTGCTACGTGAATATTACTTAAATTTGTTTCTAAATTTTGGTGAGAAATTTGGTTTTAGATAAGTTCTATGTGTAGAGTATATTTATTTTTCATGATATTATTTGCTGGAATAGTTTACATTGAAATTTACAAAAGTATTGCAGTGTCATTTATAGGCTCGTCGACCAAATTACTTAATTGTGGACAAAAATACCACAGTCAGTGAAATAGAAGAAACATTTAAAGACTTTTGTTCTCGTGATGACATTGCTATAATTCTAATCAATCAACATATCGCTGAACAGATACGTTTTGCTGTTGATGAATATACTGCGAGTATACCAGCTGTGCTGGAGATCCCATCGAAGGAAGCACCTTATGACCCATCAAAAGTAATCTCAGTTGTTCGTTTAGTATATCAATGGATGTAGAAGACAGATCTTTTTTTTCCTTATATCTCTTAAGTTAACGCTATAAATTTGCGGCATTCTGAAACTTTATGGTTTTGTCCATTTTTGCTATTTTTCAGATAATTTTCATTATGAAACAAATTTAAATAATATTCATTTCGAAGATTAATAAGATTAATTAAAAAGTACTTTATTTAGCTCGCCTATGCGTCTAGTAAGGGTCGAACCACAATATTATCATCACTTTACTTTCAGGATAGTATCATGAGTCGAGCGAGAGGATTGTTCAATCCAGATGATTTCCGTTAAATTTTCCATAATGTTCTCTCATACGTATCTTCATTTTGTATGTTAGTTTGATGTTTATCTTAATAAATAAGCTTGCGAATACTTGAACGTCAGTAAATTTGCAAATTTTCGGGTATAAAATTTCCATAGTGCTAACCTTTTCTAAAACTTTCGCTTAATAAGTTGGCAGCTTTCAGTATATATGGATGTCTTTTATTTTATTAATTCCAATTTGTACGTAGTTTGCTTATATAATTTTTAATTTGGACATAAATTTATTTGTTCGCCAGATTGTAGTTGTGTAGTTGTGTTGAACTTGTACAATGTATCTTAGAATTATGTAAAGTAAAGATTATAAAAAGCGCTTGTACATTAGTAGTCAACAGAGCAAAAAGATATTATTTACCAAAATTCTACGTTTTCTGGATATTATACATTTGCTTAGGGTCACCATGACAGTGTATTGTATCTGGCTTTGAACTGTTTTGAATTTTACTCCAAAGTTACTAAGATACTGTAACTAGCAGTTCTAAAGACATGACTATGAATTAATATTGATTTATGGAAGTTCTTTTAGATATGCAAATTTATAGTTCTTTTGGATATACAGATCATTTTTTTGAGTCGTTAGATTGTAGAGCATTGCCACCCACTCATTACATCGGTACAGTAGTTGACCTCCAAAAACTGGCTGTGCAAGCATTTTAGATATTTTTCGAATTATTTGCCGCAAGATGATAGGAAGGTAGTTGCGCGATCGTGAAAAAATCAAGCACTTACGCTATCTTTCTTTGAGCTGATATGGATGCAGTTTTTTGAAGACAGTATTTTTAACAAATTTATTAAGGCAAAAATGATTTTTAGGCTTTTATTTCCCACACCATAGATGTATTTAGTTCTGTACTCACGTGCTTTGTGTAATTAGAAGCTCGCGTTTTCTATATTTTTATTGTTCTTCAGGGATATTTAGAAAGATATTTCAGGTGAAAATACTTTTATGATGAAAGTGTTGTCATTTACTCGATCTTTATTTTCGCTCCGTCAAGTGCACACATCTTTTTCAAGAACTCAAATGATACCGATGGTAGTGGATCAGGATGGTCGGGTTGAAAGAGTTTATGATATTTATTCACGTTTACTCAAGGATCGAATTGTATGTGTCATGACACCGGTACTCTATCTCTTATATTCTCTGTTTTTCATCGAGTGTCTAATTACGTTCATGGCATCAATCCAAAACTACAAATTAGGCTATTAACATGACATGAGTTCATAATTTAATTATTCGGAAGAAAGATACGTCGGAAAATATCTTTACGCTCTTCATTCCATTTTAAAAATATTGCATTTTAAAAATTTGATGTTTTTTCATCATTTAATTGGGTATTTACACTTCAGATAAATGATCAGGTAGCAGCTTCCATCATTGCACAGCTTCTTTTTTTGCAAGGAGAAAGTGCCAAGAGCACCATCAATATGTATATAATGTGTCCGGGTTAGTACTTCTTTTTTTTGTTTTTCAATATGATTTTCTTTCTAATTGTTTATTGTAAAAATTACATTTGTAGGTGGCAGTGTGACAGCTGGTTTAGGAGTTTATGATACAATGCAGTATCTCACTGCACCAGTTGCTACGTGGTGTATAGGTCAGGTTAGTAATTGTAAACTAAGAATTTTCGGAAGTTTAACATTTTAATTTTCTTCTCATCATTAAATCGTATTATCGACGAGTAAATTAAAGAGCTAGTTGTCATTAAATTAGCTTCTGTTGTCGTTCCAGGCTGCAAGTATGGGTAGTCTTCTTTTATCTGCCGGTGCAAAAGGTATGCGTACTTCTTTGCCTAATGCTCGTATAATGGTTCATCAACCTAGTGGTGGTGCCGAGGTAATCATTTAAATAAGTTTCAGTTTATCTTCCTGCTCTTGGAACTGTATACTTCCATTTTAATTGAAATATTATTTTAGCTGTGTATTTTTTAGAATAAAAATTTTCAAAGTTTTAAGTTTTTTAAATTTATCCATTTTTATAGTGATACCTTTTTAGGGCCAAGCATCTGATATCTTAATTCGAGCACAAGAAATTGGAAGACTAAAAACGCGATTGAATAAAATTTATGCTTTCCACACAGGTTGTTTTTTAAATTAGTATAATCATAAATGTTCAAACAAATTGATTTAGTTTATAAAATTGTTTTACAAAAATTAGAGTCTTATTTAGCATCATGACCAGTAAATAAACAAGATTGTTTAAAAAGTTCCATTTTTTATTGGCTATTTTTAATGAATTTTTGTGAGGAAAGAGTAGACTTTTATACGCATTCAACCTTTATGTAAGACCTCTTGATTGTGGACTATCTTTATTTGGTGGTTTAAGAGAAATTCAAAGACCTAGTAATAGTCAGGTTAAGATAGATAATGTTTATAATGTGCAGTGAAGTTGTATTTACCATAAGTATAGGAATCATAAATGTGGTGTTTTATTCCATTTTTCAGGCCAAGATGTGAAAGTTATTGAAGAAGCGCTAGATCGCGATCGGTATATGAGTCCCGAAGAAGCAAAAGAATTCGGAATAATTGATCATATTGAAACTTCTCATATCGAAATTTGATATACTATTACTTACTTTCTCATATATAAAGGATATTTTTTGTTCATTTTTGCACATTGTTCAATATTTTTGATGATGAAAGTTTGCTAAGGAATCTCCAGCCAAAGTCAAACAAAAGAATCAATCTCTTCTTGCACTGGGTACAATCTTATGCAAATATTTGTTGAATATGAAATTTGATGGCTTCGAATAAAATTGATCAAACATAGTGAGCATTCATATCATAGCAAAAGTGAAATAATCAGGTATGGATACTGTTATGCCTCTAGCATTTGTAGAAATGTACTGTCTGAGGGAGTTTCCAAGCAAAAAATGTTTTGAAGAACTGGGCGAAGTATATTATCATCTGTGAGAAGGTATGTTTGACATTGTTTTTTTTCGTAGATGGAGTGGTTACTTTTGATGTAGTAAGGTTGTTGGTGTATATTGTTGGAATTAAATTGATAATTTATAGGTGAAGTTAAGGCTTAGACAGAAATACTATCTAGTTATTCATGGGAATGTATCATTCATGTTTAAATTGATATTCATGATAGTTATCTGAATTTATTTTTTTAATATATGCATACTAACAATCATTTATTCATCATAAATTATGATGAAAAGTGATGATTTGAAAAAAGTGATAGCGCCATTTGCAATGCGGAGAATGTGTACATTTTTATGGAATGATGATGATAAGATTCTTTTTTTTTGCATGCGAACAAGCAAAAAAAGTATGAAAATAAAACTGTGCGATAGTTTGATTGGAAAGTGAATTACAGACAGTGATTGGTAATTGCTTGTGTGGTAGTAATCATTTAGTATACAAATACAGTTTGGATATATGCTTGCAGTGGCTTGAAAATTGCTATACGCTGATAAGATAAGGAGGACAAGCAGAATGATAAGAATGGCTGCTGTTAGTGGTAATAATTGCCCTGCTCACTGCCAATAACCATCTCTGTCGTTGTCATCGTAACAATTTTTAGTTTGTTTAGGAATCATAAGAAGGAGACGATAGAAGTGCTATAAACTAGCATTTTATAACATTTAGATGACTGCAAAATCATCTTATTTCTTCGCATTTTTCCATTCTTACTGGACTAACTTTACCATATTCATACTTGGATGCTTAGCGTTAAATTGTGCATAAAATCCTATCATTTAACTTATGGTGATATTATGCACATTTTCATGCACAGCATCTTAGTTCTTGCCTTTATTTATTTATTTTTCATTTTCATTTTTGGTCATATTTCATGCTTTTCATATTTGTTCATTACTCATTTTTTGCTATTTTTTCAGTGAATTTTAAATTTTATATACTTTGCTATGTTATTCAAATATTTGCTTATTCCAAAATTGAATAATTTTTTTCAACAATTTTTTAAAAATTTTTGAAAATAAATATGAAGTTATGAACATATAATATGGTACTGTCAAAAACTTTTAAGCTTATGAGAAATAGACTAGTAGAACTATATTACTAATAAGTAAAAGTATTATCATAGATAATAATCAAATGAAATGCAAAAATTTTGGCCGTAATTTTCTCAATGAGAATCATTAATTTTTTATGTTTGTAAATTTTAATTTTTCACCTTTTGATTACTATCCGTTTTTTAATAAAATATTTTTTAGTCTCGTACTATTTCAGTTTGATGTTATTAAAGTTTCCTAAATTTATTTGCATTGTTTTGTTTTGTTTTTTGATTTTATTTGTATATTAATGTGATATATAGTGTATCAATGCCTCTCTCAGCTAAAATGTTTTATCAAATAATGCAAATTAGAAAATATATTTATTCATAATTCTTCCAATTAGTCCTTTTTTAAACTAAAGTAAATAATCATTTTTGTATTTAGCAAGTCAAAACTCATATTTGGTTGGAAAATTTCTACTTTTGTTTTGTTTTTACAATGAGCTGAATTACTATTTTAGCGGTACAGTAACCATTAGATTATCACTGAAGTAGAACATTCGTTATTTAGATGGTAAATACTTTAATTTTAGAAATAGAAAGAATGACATCATTAAGCAGTTCAGTTTTTACAAAAAAGCGTCTGTTACAAAAGCTATCATATTGTTATGAAAACTGTTATAAAAAAAGATATGAAAAATTCATTTTAGCTTATATGAAATATAAATTCACTCAAATGCATTGATTCTGTATAAGTTGTTTGTAAATCTTGTAAAACTATCTAGTGATGTACAAAATCAGACAAAATATCACTCTGATTCTGGTAAGTGGATTATCTCTTTTCTTTCAGAATAAATAACTCATGGCATAAAAAAGAAGATAATTCTGTTAAATAAGATAAGATAGTTGATCTAACTGTTCTACAAGAACAGGTCACGAAAATATTATGATTTGCCAACCAAATATCAAGATCAAAATTAAAGTTCAGCAAAGTTTATTTTGTTAACTTTTATTCCAAAGAAAAAACAGAACACAAAGCTATAAAGTAAATCAAAAAAGAAAAAATCTTGTTGAAGAAAGTTTTAATTGTTAAAGAAAAGATATCAAACATTTACGCCAAAAGTCTTCACTAAAATTATAGTTACGGCAACTGTAAAGAAATGACAGTGTTATACAGAACTTATTTCTGATATATAATACTTCGGAGTAGTATTGTTGGAAGTAAGCTAAAATTCTAATTTTCTCATTGTTTTGAATTTCGAATGACAAAAGAGATTTGGAAAGTCAACTTTTTGTGGAGAGATTTTATGCTGACATTCACTTCAATATATTTGTGGATATGACAAAGAAATAAGTATGCTAGAGCAGTAAGTGTTCATTTCAGAAGAAGTAAATTTGTGTTTTCGGTTTTCTGAATCTAAAAGAAATGCAATTTTCAAATTTTTAGTACCTTTGAATATTGAGAGTGTATGTGGCACATATTGCTATCATTACAGGTGAGCTCAATATAATCTCTGTAATGATTTGAAGTTTTTTGATCGAATACTTGACATATCATGGGAAAGATAAACGGTAAGAAACGAGAATTGCGGTGTGGAAGAAGCAGAATTTGATGGCTATCCAAAGTATTACTACTTGTTTGGTTGAAATTGAAATGTAAACGATTAAAATTTTTATCAGTTTTTCGTTCATGATATGTGGATATGATAAATTTATCTATGTGGATATGATAAGTTTGTCTGTAGTTATTTACAACGAATTGTAAAATTTTTGTAATTTTGTGATTTTTTAGAATATATACATATATCTAAAAGAAAATTGAACAGGTATACTTTGAGGTAAATTAGATTTAGCAAATAAAATGATCGAGTTAGTTTTGAATTTGTAATGTCAACGTACTATGTTTTGAGTGCATCAGTTAAAATTTTATTATCATTAATTACTGAATAATAAAGGCTTTGAATGAAAAATGCTGAGATTTGCATAATTAAAAAAATTTGAAAATGTAAAATAGTGAGTTCAAAGTTATATAAATTTGTAAAGTAGCGCTTCATTCTTTTCAGTCCTTAATTGAAGGTGGAGTGGGGTGAAATTTGTTAACCTACTAATATACTTAATGTGAATACAAGCATTAAGTGATAATTATCCATCATTGATTCTACTGAAATCTCTTCAGCGATAAATATATAAAAGAAATCAAAAATGATAATGGTAATAACAGATCGTGATTCTAAAACAATATATTTTCGTAATTTGATACTGAATGGAATGGGCGATGGACAAGCAGTAGCTGCGGATTTCCTGGCTCATACTGTAAGTCAAAGCAGTTTTGATGACTTCTCTATTATGGTCTTACTTTATTTACTTACTATACTAATAAGGTTTATTCTCAGTGTTTTAAAATTTCAAACAAGCATCTCTAATATGTATAGCAAATAATTTGAATTAAATCACTAAAAATTTGTTTAATTTATATAATTTTTCATCACTGCTTTGAATTGGCATTAACTGTACAAACAATAAAATATTATAACAATTTTCGTGTTTTGAATTTTCAATAAACTAGTAGATAAAATCCAAATATTAAAAATTATGCATTTTAACGAGATGTAGCAGATAATTTTTCTGATTACAACGAAATTATTGAATCTTGATAAGAATTTTATATAAAGATAATTTCCAAAAATCATTTGATAGCAATAATAAAACTATTATTGTAGTCTATTACTTTATTCGTTTTATTTTTAGATAAAAAGCAAAAGGGTTTATTATAATTTGCTATTTTAATGAAATTGAAAAAATAAAAAATAGGAAAATAAATTAAACTTGCAAATTTTTTTAAAATCAAAACTAGAATGCTAGAGAAAAGCTTGCAAATATGAAAGGGTTTAAGTAAAAATTAGAATGCTAATATTATTATTTTATGTTTTCAAATTTCAATATGCATTTTTGTTTTAATAAAAGCAAACTTGCTATAATTATTATTGTTTGGTAGTTATATGAATCTTATTGCAGATAGATGTTGAAGCGTTTTTAGAAAATACAGAGGATATATCAGCATTCAATGACTTTCAAAGAAACGATGGCTACAATACTTAACGAATGCACTGATAACATTTTGATAATATATGATAACTCCTATCTCTTTATTCTAAAACTTCTGTAAATTACAAGATGTAGTGCACAAATGCACTGAAAGAATGACAGTACTACAAAAATATGCTTTTTATTTCTAAAAATTGAACATTTTTATGTGTGCATATTGTAATCTCAATTATTAATTAATAAAATTAAATTTTATGTTGCAGTGTACGACATTTATCATTGATAAATTCACTTTGGAAGTTTGCTACTTCAGTATCATGCAAATTTACTGATTCAAACATGATTTTGTCACTAGCAAATGAAGAATATTGCTTCAAAGCCTTGTATTATAATTCACAAATTGGCAAAATTTTTATGACATAAAAATGAAGTTAAAAATTTCAACTGGTAACAAACATATGAGCCAAATTTGAGTTTATTCACATTTATGAAAAATTTTTTCAGTTTAGTACTAACAAAACATTTATTTATTTTTCTTCATAGATTCTTAGA